TGGAAACACCAAAAATCAGACTGAGGCTGAGAGCGCCTCCCAGCGCTGGGTAAGGGGACGAGTCTCAGGACCAGGGCAGGACTGATGGTGAGTGCTGGTGCTGGCAAAGGAGAGCTGGAAGCTGGCTCAGGCAGATGAAACCTCCCTGGTCTCCCCTCATCTGTTTTCTCCATTTCTCTTCCCAGCAACAGGCCAATCTGATCCCAGGGTTGAACCTCAGTGCACTTGGCATCTTTTCAACAGGACTGTCTGTACTTCCGCCACCAGCAGGGCCACGTGGAGCTCCCCCGTACCACCCCTTCGCCGTAAGTAGCCTGGCGTGCCAGGTGGTGTGCCCGGGCTCTGGGCACCTCCAGAGAGGAGCAGCACCCCGCTTTGTTGAGTTGGAGCTAAGGCTTTCATATATGGTCCATATACTTTTGAATGATTATAGGATAGATAGGCCAACATTGCTTAGAACTTTCTCCTACAAATATATTAATGTTATTAAACCAACTGTTGAAATACATCTTCCTAAGTATGGTGGTATGTGTCATATCTAGGAATGGAAGAAGAAAGTGGCAAATATATTAACTAGAAGCCTCTTTATTGATTAAAGAAACAAAAAAGAGAGCAGTTAGTGCAGATAAGAACCTGTGCCTTTGTTTTTAAAGTAATGTGCAGAGACCATGGGAAACTGCATTTCTGGGTCCATTTGGATTCCAAAGTTTCCACTGTTGTATTTGCTGCCATACATGTGATTTTTTAAAAATGTACATTTTTATTTATGTAACTATATTCTTTTCAAGCAAGATGTCCTTAAAAAACACCGTGCCTGCGAGCTCTGGTGTCCTACTGTCAGGAAGCTGCACTGCAATCCAGAGGTGCATGATTCGAATCCACCAGATGCTTTACTGGAGAAAGAGGAATAATCTCCTCCTGTACCAGTCAGATCCGATTTGATGGAACACACACATACAAAAAAAAAATTTTAAATTTTTTTAAAAAAAACAACCACCACCAAAACCACCCTGTGCCTTCATGAATGTTTGTCATTTATTAAAATACTAGGGAGTTTGGTGGTTCTTGGGAGCCATACAATTCCTGTATAAATTATTTTTATGGGTATTTTATAAATAGCCCATTTTTAACATTCTAAACGATATTTTTATGTAAAGTAGTATTTTATATATTGTACATAATAAATAGTTCTGTAGGTTTTTAATATTGCGATGGGAAAGTCTGCGGTTAGGGACCTCTCTAAAGTACTCAAGAGCAGCGATGTCTCTCTGGAGACTAAGGTGCGCCTGATACAGGCCATGGTTTTTTGCAATCACTTGTTATGCATCAGAGAGTTGGACAATGACTAGGGAGGGTAGAAGGAGAATTGACGCCTTTGAGCTGTGGTGCTGGAGAAGAGTATTGAATGTACCATGGACTGCCAAGAAAACAAACAGATTCATCCTAGAGAGGGTTAAACCAGGCTGCTCCTTGGAGGCAAGGATTCTGGGGCTTCGCCTGACATACTTTGGACATGTTGCAAGGAGAGACAGGTCTTTGGAGAGGGACATCATGCTGGGTAGAGTAGAGGGACAGCGCAGGAGGGGAAGACCCTCTATGAGGTGGACTGATTCAGTGACTAGGTAATCGGGATGGGTGTGTCAGAGGCAGTACGATTGGCACAGGATAGAGCAGGGTTTAGGGCTGTTGTACATAGGGTTGCTATGAGTCACAAATGACTCGACGGGACATGACAACAAAAACAGATTTTTAAATGAAATATCTAAAATAACTTCATATTTCTGCTTATTTTATTAATAGACTCACTAAAAAAGTAAATCCTGCACAGTGTTATTTTTTCAGAACTGGGTGCACAGTACCTGGTATTTAATAGCTTCTAAATATGTTGATGGTTTGTATCAGAACTAACAGCAGGAAGAAGTAGTACTTCATGAGTTTCTGCTACCGCTGAAGTCCAGTATACTTGATAGTTTTTTCATTTCTAATGCCTCACCATATTGCTTATTTTTAACTAAACTTTGAGTTCTGCGATGTTTGTACTATTTAGATAAAGAGGTGAGTGAGCAAACCCTACTTTTGGCACTCCTTTCTATTGAGAGGTGTTCTCCAAAGTGGCACTGCCTTGTGTCAATCCAGTAGTGTTCTGGGTTCTCTGCAGAGAGCCTGGTGTGCCTTCTGTGCTGCTCTGTCTGTAAAATATACTGTAATAGGCTGCCCTTAGTCATCAGTGTGTACTCGCTCTTGTTCCTACACAGCTTATCCAAGTTGATCCTAGAAGTCTCCATTTCTTTAGCTTTATATCCTTTGCCTTTAAACAAAAAGGCAGAGCATGACATCAGGCCTGAACCTGAATGTATAAACTTCTTTCTGTCAACGTGGCCACATTTTCCAACTACTCTGGAGCTCTGGTGGTGTAGTTCACAGGAAGTTGCATTGCTCACTGCAAAGCGTCCAGCTGTTCCCTTCCACTAGCCGCTCTACGGGAGAAACACGAGCAGTCTCCATCATGTGATTTACAGCCTCCAACACCCCTCAGAGGATCCGCTGTGAGTGAGTTCTGAGCAGTGGGTGAGTGAATGAAACAGAGCAGAGTTCATTTAAGCCACTCATCTGTGCTTTTCTGTTAGAGCAGTGCAAGATAGCTAAGACCAGTAGAATGGAGGTTTGGTGACAGCAGTGTCTGGCCCCAGGCCACAGTCTGGAACAGTGTTCTTTCCATAAAAGATACTGAATTCTCCTTTGAGGTGTGAATGAGTCAGCCCCCACAACAATAAGATGTAGATACTATTTTAGATCATTTAGAGGAGGCTCCAAAATGTTACTAGAACTTGTACAACTAGTGATTCAGACTCAGCTTGTCTTGACTCCCAAGCCTCCTTCTATGCACAAAGGCTAGAAATAGGCTCCAGGACCCTCCGTACAGCAGCTTTCTAATTGTGAGTCATAAATAAAAAGAGGAGGGTGACATTTGTCCTTTTTATGACCAATTCAAACACATCCCAATTCAGTGCACCCTTGTCCAGTGTGGTAGGTCTAAATTTGATACAGTGCTGATGTTGGAAGCATTTGGACCCGGAAATAGGAGCCACTCTGTGGCTTATGTAGTCCTTGCCTCCCACTGGCTTTAGTGCAGGACAAGCACAATTCCAGAAAATCCTGATAGACTGAAGATCAGATGTGCCCTTTCCACAGGGTAGAGCTTTGGCCAGGCAGAAAGTTTGCAGGAATTCCCTTGCCCTTCTTGGCCAATGACAGTCCCCAGGACCAGTGGCCACCCAGGGAGTGGTCTGGAGCTGAGGATTTCTCAAGATGAGCCTCACCATCTGCCCAGTTTTTTCAGAATCCCAGTTAGTAAAGAGAACGCTGATCTCCTAATGCCCTCTGCTGGGCATGTAGTGTCACTGCAGGTTCATTGTACATCAACTACAGTGGTGATTTTTCGGGTTAAGCAGAGCTTGGTCCCTAGCAGGTGCTTTGGGTACCTCCCTGGAGCTCTCCAAGTGCAACTCCCTCTGTAGTCACAAGTTTGGAAGCCTGCTGTCCAAACTTCAAAGCAGTGTTATTTCATCCCTATTTAGTCACAAGACAAAGTTGTACTAGATGGATCAGGATGTGGAGGACGCACACGGACAGCCCTGTGAGATTCACGCACGGGCCCACAGAGGAAGGCAGGTCCCAGCTCCACGCCTCATCGTGTCTGCTCACTGCTGAACTGTGTCACTGGGGGCTACCCTGCAGGGTCTGCAGGAATGGTTTCGCGATGGCCCAGAGCCCCCTCACTGCTTACTTGTACTGTAATGACAATGTTTGATTGGCCTTGTGTGAAACATAGTAAACAGACTAACTGATCCGGTCAGCTCCTAGCCACAGATATTGATAAAAAGCAGCGGTTACCAGGGATTGGAACGGAGAGGAGGAACAACTAACAAATAAATAAAGTGAAATTCAAGGAAAGGAAATAGACTCTTAAGAGGCTAATCAGACATTGTAATTAATTGATTACATTAATAATTTTCAAGTAGTGTTACAAAATGTGTATCAATGACTGAAAGACCAATATGACTTTTACACTTTCAACAAAAAAAGGGGGAGGAATTAGATAAAGGCAGGCATATTTTTCTCTTTGGGGATTCTTGTAAGCTTTTAAAAGTTTATAAATAAATATAAAGGATCCACCACAGTGCCTTATGCATCGTAAATATTCAATAAAAAGTGGCTCTTTTTATTTCCTTTTTGCATGCAGGAGATCTGGTTGCATTCCAGGTCAGTGCCCCTCATGTGCAGCCCCGTGAGTGTTGGTGTGATGCTGAGGAGGTTTCTGCAGAGGTTCACAGTGAACTAGGAGGAAGGGGGTCTGCATGACAGACCAGCCAGAGAAAGCTCTGTGGGTCCGTAGTGTCTGCCCTGCTGAGCATGGTGTCCCGATGAGTCGGGACCAATGTGGCAGCAGCTAACAACAGAAACATTTCCTTCCCCCACTCATATCTCCGTTTTCGTCTATCCGTATCTACCCATTTGGGGGTAAGATGGCCAGTCTCCTGTCCTGCAGTTTCCTACCTCTATCCACTGCACAGTCCACTATGCCTTGGTTCAGACATGACCGCGTGTAACTACAAAGTGTGAGAAAACTCTTCCTCCTTCCTGTCTGTGGTTCTTGTCTCCCTTTGTCCATCAGGCTTACTGATTCCTGCCTTCTGAGCTTTCATCCTGGGTAAATTCTCCTCCTTTTGATCTTGAATGATTGATTGGTCTCAGGAGTGAGTGGCTCTGGGCAGTTTTGTTCACTAAGAGCCATTTTATTATTTGATTGAAAGTTGAGCCAGCCTGGGATACATTTGCTTGTTCTGAATACATTTTCACTATTGTCCTGGAACTCTCTGTTCCTTTTAACCTGCGGTTCTTCAGAAAATAGAGCCCACTACCCTGCCCTCCACCTGGGAACAGGTTATGATAGAGAGAGGTGTGTGTGTGTGTGTGTGAGATAGAGAGGGAGGGAGAGAGAGAGAGAGAGAGAGAGT